GCAATAGTGTGATTAATTAATTATTACATATTACAATAAATATCAAATTTTAAATCATTGATATAGAATTTTGAATTCATTTATACGGTATTTGGAATTCATACGGCATTTGGGATTCATACAGTTTTTTTCCGTAAGCGCAACTTGCTATGCGTCATATGGTTCACTGAAACAGTTCCACCTGCACCTTTACTCTCAACGATACTAGGCACAATAAATACATGATTTAGGATGCTCTCAAGCATCTCTTTCAATATGATTTGCTAACTATAGAGATCGTGCACAAGTACTACGATTAATTGAAGTAATATTTATGGAAATTTCGTCAAAGATTCATATTGCGAAATACGGTTATTAAAATTTAGCAATTACTACAATTCTATGATAAAAAAAGATGGCCTCTGACCATATTTTTTTCATCGCCAATACTTGAACAATAAATTAATTTCTGCTAATTAAAAATTGAGCTCCGACCTATTTTAGATGCTTGAGAGTACTCTTAGTCAACCGTTCTAGAAATTACCCACAAAAAAATGTAAACTTACATCATAAATTTATCACATGTGACATATTTCAGTATATCGCATAAATTATCAGTCATATAGTTAAAGGTATATGTGTAATAAAGTAATAGTCTATTAAAATTTATGATATAAAATTACATTTTGTGGGCGATACTAGAGAAGATTGATAAATCTGTTATGCCTATTTCATCATGCTAATTATACGATAAAATTTTTGACCACTTAGATAAAACCTAATTCGAACATCTGTTGTGAAATAAATTAAATAGAATAAATAAATTTTAATAAATATATTGTTAATTTAGTAAATATACTGTAATAACAAAATTATTAATTTGATAAATAAGAAATGCATTGATAAAATATATTAAATAATATTAAACAATTACCGTATTTATAAATAACATAAATATACCTTAATAATCTCTTTTTACCCTAGTCCATAGTGACTTTAAATTAAAATGTCTTCTTCGAAGTTTAAAGCTTCTAGTGAAATTAAAAAAAGAGGTAGTTACAAACTACAAATAAAGGCAAAACTAAGCTCACATCTTTTGCTAAAAGAAGAAGATAGACTTAGACTTAAATATCTGTTAGATATTGGTGCACCCGGTGTTGTTGAAATGGAATGGGATTTGTCTCAGGAGCATAATATTGTAAATCGTGACAAATTTCTTCAAGAAAATGGTTTTAATATCGATCCTGATGATGTGCGATGCAAATAGGCTATCCGACAATCAACCAAAACATTAATTGTAAAACAATGTATAAATAGAAGTTATAGAGAAAAAAATACTACATCTACTTCCCGGGCAACAGTAACATGTTATCCATATGTAGGGTGTCTTGCATTTGCCTCAATTTTTCTTCGTAATGATGAAATTTGTGGCATTGCAGGATACTTGGAACATAGTGAACAATGCTTGTCTTCTTAGCCACAACGTGACCCACAATATAGGCTCTTACCTTATGTAAAAAAGAGTGTGGAAAACCTAATAAACCTTAATGTAAAAACTTCGGACATACTTGCTCAGAATGCAAGAATCGTAGAAATGTGTTTGGAAATCGCACCCTGATCGGAAATTTTAGAACATTGCTCACTGCAATAGACATTACTAATATTAAAAAACAATCATTATGAAATCAATGGAATATTGATATCAAAAATGATGCTGTGAAAAACCTAGATCAAATGCTTGGACCAAAGGTGGATCAGTCTGAATTAAAAGATGCATGTCTCTATTATCAACCTCATACAAAGGAAAATAACTGCCTCGAGATCATCATTAGCACTTATGAACAACAAGAATATGCCTGGAAATACGGTCATCAAAATCTCATTCTTGTTGATGGAACTTTTGGAATTAGCAGGCACAAATTACTTCTATTTATTGTCATGGTTATTGATAGCAATAATAAAGGCATTCCTATTTCTTTTATCCTCTTTACACCACCTCGATCTAATCGATTAACATCTTCTGGATATGATAGTAAAATTCTGGAACGACTTTTTACAATCTTCCGTGATAAGATAAGTGATAATTACAATAAAAAAAATCAATCTCTAGCTACTCCTGTTATATTTAGCCCCCGCGCTGCAATGACTGATACTGATATCAAAGAGCGGAAGTCATTATCAAAAGTATGGCCAGGAATAATTCTACTTCTTTGTTACTTTCACATAAGTCAATGTTGCAAGAATGAGATTAATAAACAATTAGGTCGTGGTGGCGAAAATAAAGTAATTTTATTACGACAAACCTTAAAAGCATTTTTAAAAAGTGTCTTAAATGAGGCTCGGTTAATGGATGGTAGTGAGGAGATGGTATGTAATTATATCACAAAAAAAAAAGAATCATTAGAGTGTATTTATAAGGCAAAAAACTTGTCAGAAAATAAAAAAATTCTAGAAGGTGGTTTAAATTTTTTATCTTACCTGAAAAAACAATGGGGTGGAGATCTTTTGTCTAGTTGGTGCCTTAATGGACGAATGAATGCTGCCAAAGCTCTCGGAATTCCTTTAGAAAAACTTCCTACTATGAATAACCATCTTGAGGGGATGAATGAGTATCTAAAAAATAACCAATTAAACCGATTCCAAAGAAATAATAGACCCCTTAGAGCTGATATACTATATATTGTTCTTGTGCATGAAGTTATTCCTAATATCTTGACATTGCGAAACCTTGCTATAAATTTTGAATGTGAAAAAGAAGAATGACGAAAGGATCTTAATATAATGGACCCATCTGATCGTAACATTATTATGCAAGAGTTTTCACAAGTTGCATATTTGTCTCCAAGTGTAAAACGTGATAAACTTGCAAAAAAACTAATTGACATGAATAAAATAAAAAAATATGAGGTAGAAGAACTTTCTAGGAATATCTATGTTGAGGTCGAATCTGAAACTATGCCAGGAGTAATTTACACAACATGTGTATATGGACAACCGACTGATATCTGCTGTCAATGCCTCGACTTTCTTCAAAGGGGAATTATATGCAAGCATCTTCATGCTGCAGCCCTTTATATTGAAGACCTTCGTAAGCAAGAACAATATTCATATTTGCCTGAAATGACCTTTCTAACCTATCAAGAATCCCAAAATATTCGATCAAATATATATGCTAATGAATCTGAAATACCTACAAGTTCTGAAGATGATGATAATAATATTAGCGATGAAGATGATATTGATACTGAAAACGAAGATGTTGAAAATGAAAATACTGATGATTCTGTTTCAACTTCATTTAAAGAAATCCTTACTTATATTGGACATATTCTTAGACCTAATACTCCAATAGAAGTATCACAATCTAATGTACCTACATCTGCATCAACTCTACAAAAATATAATATAGCCGATATTGATGATTTAAACGCTGCTGCTATTTATCAACAAGAAATCAAAGAATTCTTGGAATCTACTTCAAAATGTCTACATAAATTATAGAATAACTTAATGTTTCTTCAAAATCTGGTTAAATCTAAACATTCATCAGCACAAGAACATTTTAACTGTAGCGATCAAAATGCTTTACTGTCTCACCTTCATAATGTCGTTAATTTAGATGCATTCAAAAAAGCACAAAACTTAGTCAATAATATACATAAAGAAACAGACCATCGTAGACTTGTAGTTTCTGATACTGGTATTATTCCACTTGAACGAAAAAAAAAACAGCAACAGAAGCCATTGTACAAAAGCTAAACTATAAGATATAGATAAAACAAATAGTAAATACTACAATGCTTTTTATGGCCTCTATATTAGCATGATCATCTATTTAATAAAATATAACCAACTGTAATGTATGTTTAATAAGACATTCATATATTATAAAAGAAATTTTTCTGTAACTTATCTATGCACTATTTGTTGTACCTCGCATAATATAGCATCTCTAAATTTTAAAATATGTGGTGCCTGTATTATGTATTATAATATTAAAAAGTTTTTAGTTTTTCGCGTGATTAAAATCAGTTGATCACTTGCATTTTAATCCAAATTATGCTCTATTGTTCGTTAAGTTGCCCAACAAATTAATACATGCACATACTAATGTAAGATAATTTCTCTAGTTGCATAATAAGAAAATATATATATATTTAGTGAGACTAGTATAAATACGTATAAGTATTAACGTATTAACTTTTTAATTAAACAGGATATATCAAACTACAGTTTGCTTCTTTTTTTCTTGAAGGTTTTTTTTATTTAATACCTATAAAATGAGTTACTAAATATTATTTTCTTAACTCTAGCTCCAGCATATTTTTTTAAAGAATGAAATTTCACTAATTTAAGCTATTCGTTTATGTAATATGTACGTACAAAGATACTTGATACGTATAGGTACTTAAAAAAATTTTAGTGGCGATACGGTAACAGTAATGTTAAATTAAAATCTAAGTAGGACATAAGTTTTATTGGCTAATTTTTGCGATCATCATCAATTTTTAAAAAAGGAAATTTGAAAAATGGGTCAGTAATATCGGTCAGAAAAAACTCATAAACGCGAAATAGAACTTATGCAACAAACTATCAATTGTTTAAAACAAACTATCAATGACTTACAATCCAGAATTAATACCTATGATGATATTTCAACTTCAGAACTATATTAAAAATATGATAATTTAAATATTTATTTGTTTCAATACAATCTTGTATGAATTTTTTTTTTTTTTGCTTTCCTTTAGGATTTTGGAAAGATTTTTTTTTTTTTGAATTTGTTTATTTTATTTTTTATTTATTTATATTATTATTTAAAAAATATTATTAAATAAAAATATATATTATTATATAATATAAATAAAAAAATTTTTATACTAACCTGTCATTTTTGGAAATATTGCGCATAAATGTTTATGTTATAATACCGATTAACATCTGTATACAGTGGCGGCCAAAGATATTGCATCATCTGAACATAAAATTTAAATATTTAATATCTTATAGCACAAAAATTATAGCAACACAAAGAAGGCTTTATTGAAATCATCAAATCAAACATATTAAATATTATAAATTTATTTTTGCAACAATAAAAAACAAATCAAATTATTAATAAATAATATTCTTTTGGGCGATGCATTTATTTTAATTGTTTTCTTGATTTTTATTTATTATAAAATAAATTTAATAAAAAATGATTCTATTACAAAAATATTTTGATGAATTGTTATTCACCATCTAGTATAACCACCCTTTGCTTTAATTACATCATTAATATAGGACGGCATGGATTCAATAAGCTGTTTACACACGTCTACATCTAACTCAACCCAAACTTTTTGAACAGCATTTCACAATTCATCAAGAGTTTTATGCATCCAAGTCTTCTTAGACGACAGTCCATTTCATTCCACAAATGCTCAATTGGATTTAAGTCTAAGGATTGGGAAGGCCAATCAAGCACCTTGATCTCATTTTCTTCTAACCATTCCTTCATAAGACATGCAGTATGCTTTGGATTATTATCTTGTTAAAAAATAATGTCTCTCTTATCCAAATAATGCTACTCGATAGTTCCTAGAAGGTCTTCTTCCAATATTTGACGATATAAAGCACCATCCATGTTTTCATAAATGTGGCAGAGGTTGCCAACACCACTTGACGTAAAACACCCCCATACCATGATACTGCCTCCTCCAAACTTGACTGTGGGTTGAACATAATGGTCTTGTAACAGTTCTTTAAGCTTTCTCCAACAATACTCTTGACCATCAGATCCAAAAATCATGAACTTGGATTCCTCTGACCACACCACCTTACTCCAGACTTCAACGATCCAAGATACATACTTCTTTGCAAACATTAAACATTGATGCTTGTGGGATTTAGATAGATATGACTTTTTACACTTGACTCAGGCTCTTAATCCATTACGACGCAAAGTCCATTTGATTGTGTTTTTACTAACAATAATTCCCTCATCAGTTTTTAGCTTTTTTTGAACAGAAACAGCATTGGTACATTCTCCAGTTATAATATACCACAACACTTTTTGCTCATAGTGGCCGGTAAGTAGTCTCAGGCATCCAGGCTTTGGTTTGTTACTAAAGATACCCGTTTCTTTCTTGCATTGCTTGATTCTTACAACAGTAGATTGAGAAACTTTTTCATGGTCAGCTACATATCGGGTTGGATATCTTTCATTTAAAAGGGTAAAAATTCGGGCTCGTTTTTCAAACGACAGGTAAACCATATGGTCTATAATTTTTTTGATAGGAGGGCCATGTCACAGAGAATCACTTTTATATATAAATAGGGTGCTATTTACAAACACGAAAAGATCGCGCACTATGTTCCAATGTTTATTTACTAAACGACCAAAAGTATTGCATCGCTATTTTTTAGGTTTTTTCAAATCAACGTGTGAATTTTCTAAAAGAGAAAAAAAAAATTTATATATACGGATAAGTTATGGTATGACAAACCCAATTTTTGAACATCGTAGCACTGTGAACGTTGAGTCACGAGATATCGCCTTTTTAAATTTCGTGTTCAGGTGATGCAATATCTTTGGCCGCCACTGTAAATAATTAAAATAAAACAGATGATTAGTACAACGTGATATTTATGAAAAATCTGCGAAAGGTGATAATTTGATGTATTAGTACCCGCTAAAGTGCATTTGAACCGATTATTATTATAAGGATTATCAATCTATGTAACTCAAAATGTTATTTAGAATTAAATTGTTGTGCATTTTTCCTTTACTACCAAATACTATTTTCACTTAATATTAAAAAGTAAAAACTTTCTTAAATTTTTCTGACCATAACATTGAACCAGAAGAGAGAATGTCATTAGAAAATATATTAAATCTTTCAAGTGATAGTCTTGGATTTCTGCAACTCTGCTAATAACAAACATTATAACTTCTATAATTCTTCAATCAAATGCTTACCTGACAAACAATGTGCTGGAAATTTTTAATTGGTCGATTGCATGACAAACATTGGAGCTTTAGTATAAAAGAAGATTGAACTTACCCGAAGCATAATTTTTGCAGATCCATGATTTTAATTTGCTGTCATATGTAACCATATACGTTCTTTTTTTATATTTTCTTTCGGATTTAGGCTGTAGCTATCAAGAAGAATTTGGTTAAAATATTGTTAAAAATATTAAATATTAAAAAAAAGCTATGACGGGTATTTGTTAAACTTTAAACACAAATCATGCGTCTTTATTGTTCAAGAACTAGCCATTTTATTAAGATAATTTATTTAATTTTTTAACGTCAATCCCAATAATAAAGAAACATAAATTATTCTTAACAAATCATCAAAACGCCTAGTATTATTAAATTTCTTAAATAAACATAATTAATTAATGATTTAAAATTAATTAATTAAAAAAAAAAAAGAATCATTTACATCCTTCACTAAATTGAATAACCGCAAATTTCCCAGAATACATCCAACTTTTATCAGAACCTAAACTTTTTTCAACTCCTTCATCAAGTCCTACAAATACATCAGATTTTCCTGTTCTTAAAGATAATAAAGGAGGAGAATTTTTCGAATTTCCCAATGGACCGATAGCATCTTTAAAAGGTGTAATAGATTCCCATTTACAATCATAAACCAATTTTCTATAATTTAAATCACCTTTAAATATAATAAGATGAGATTTACATAAATCATTATAAAGTTCAGGAGCTTTTTCTTCCAAATGCCAAAAAGAATAAGGAGAGGTCCAAAAAAAATCTGAAGTAATAATCCAATTTGAATTAGTTATATATGATTGCCAACGATTAAAAAGTTTTTCTAAGGAAAGTTTTTCAATATTAGAAATTGATGAAAAAAATTCATTGTTTTTAAGTGTTTTAAGTAACCAATTGAAATCTTCTAATGTTGTATCTGAAACAAACCATGGAATTGGTTTTACGTGTAAATAAACTTTGGATACGTATCCTGATTGAATTAACCAATCCGAGAAAATTAAATCACTGTATAATTCAAACCCTAAGTAAAATTAAAAAATTAAAAGTTAATAAGTATTGATAAAAATTTAAAATAAACAAGAATATAGGTAAATTTTGTCTATGTAGATATATTTATATATATTTACCAGCGTTATCTAGAATAAAATCCACTCTAGCATTATTATGTTTCGATAACCAATTCCACGTTTTTTCCAAATCATTTATCAAAATATGTTTATCCGATTCATTTAATTGATTTGATTCAATATTTTGTAATTGATTATTATTATTATTATTACCAAAATTTGGTAACATAGATAAATCAATTGCATTTCCCCAAAGTGATAATTTAGCAAGTTCATAAAAAATTAATTTATCATTTGTTTTTACTTTTTGTAAAGAAATTAATTCATCAATACGTTTTGAAAATTCGAATATTGTTGTAAAGGATACTTTAAAAGAATCTTCTTTTTGACGAAAATAAGGATCATAATTTTTCCAATGTTTGGTATTTGTAATTATTGAAATAATTCGACGATATAAATAACATTCAGCGAATAACCATGTTGTTGTGAACCAATTTTCACCCTTAAAATAAGTATTTAAAGCATCGTTCCATGATACAATATCTGGTCTTCCATCATCTTCGATCTGACTTTATCAATAATAAAAATATGCATTGTAAGTAAAGTAATTCCATTAAAACAAAAATAATATCGAATTGATCAAACAAATCAAATAAAAAAAAATTATGTTAAAAGAACACGTACATTAATTGATCTTTTCTTTGAATTTGATTTATTAATTCTTCCATAGAAGCTATAATTTTTTTTCCTTCTTCATTCTTATCAACTTCCGAACAATTAAGTGAATCACGAATATTGTCAATGGCTTTTTTTATTATATCTTTCCATCTATGTGTTGCGGTAATATGAGCAAAAGTTTCTTTATCAGCTGCTCGAAGAGCCGGCCTTGGTGGGTTTGCAGGGTTAACTGACATTTAAAAACTAACTTTGAAATGTTTGAAATATTTGAAACGTTAAATATTGTAATAATGATATAATAACGATAGTAAAGAAACGATAACGATAAAAAAAATAGTTCGTGTAACTGATTCGAAAATTACTAACATTATAGGTAATATTGGTAACATTACACAAACTTTTAGAAAAACAAGAGGGTAACAAATTTAGGCGTGGGTAAAATATAATAATGATTTGCAGAAAAACAAGGGTATTACCAATCCTAGATGTTACACGAAATCTCTTAGAATATACCTAAAAAAGTACTATTAAATCTTTTTAAAAAAAAATGTAGGTGTATGTACGCACCTACATAGGTAAGTTCGGCAACAAGGATGAAGATCGCTTCCATTGATCGAATGAAAGAACAATTTTTTTTGTAGTATAGTAAAGCATTAAATTGATTAAAGATATTGATTTATCAAATTTAGATTTGGCGTCTTAAAAAAAAAAAAAAATTACAAATATTGAAACGATCACCTGAATTGTAAGGATAATAAGAATTAAGCAGTTAAGAAATCTCTACGTACCTAGTATTATTAGATTACCCGGGCTACCTGGATAAATCATTATTCCTGGTAGAATATAGAAACAATTTATACTGGGATTCATTATCTATAATTGGGTTCTATAAATTCTATCGCTATCTCTATTGCTATCACTATTGGATTATCCATTCGTACATACATTAAAATTTCAGCCTTTTGACATTTTGTGTATCACAAGCATAACTCTCATAATATTATCAGGTTTTTCGATGCAGCTATATTTGTGATACGCTGTAAATAATTTTTTTTTTTAAGATCATCTTAAACGTGCAAAATTCGAAAAAATTTCTATATTATACATAGGTGTGAACGAATCTAACTTTGGTATAGATAGATTCTCTCATAATATCAAATATGCATTAGGAAATTCTTATATAACAACTTTCCTGCATGGGAACCGAGTATACAGCGCCAACTCAGGTTTTTAACATAGATGTAACACGATAATCACAAAATAGAAATCTTTAAATGAGTTATGCAAGTTCGTAAAATTTTTTAAATTTTGTAGTTTTTAGTCCGTAATTTCTAAATTTTATCTATAAATTACTAATTTTTTTTTAGTTTCGCTGATCTTTTATAATAAAGGAATACAGACTACTAAACAATACCAGTAAGTATTATTCTAAACAAACCAATAAGTATTATTAATTTTGACTGAAATCTAATCATCAAATTAAATAATTTACGGGATACATCTTTATGTAGAACCCGGTTTATCAACAAAAGGCGGCAATCCAAATTTTGTTGGTTCAAAATCATTTAAAGAAAAAATCATTTCATCAGCATCATTTTTACCCGGATAAAATTCTACAATTTTGGGATCTGGTACCCAAATAGCCTAATTTGAATGATATTTTAAAATTAAAATTTATTTATTCATTTTAATGAATTTAAATTGTTATGAGAAAAACTTACTTTCATGTTTGCATTCTTTGCAGCTTTGATTCCGTTAATTGAATCTTCAAATACCAAACATTGATTTGTAGGAGGATTACCCATTTTGTCACATGCGGCAAGAAATAGGTCTGGTGCAGGTTTACCATTCTTGACATTCGCATCATCCCCACAAGTAATACTATCAAACATATCGAATAATTCTCTATTATTGGAAGCTTTGATATTGTAACTTTCTCGACTCGAACTTGTTGCCACCTATTTAATTGAGTGTATTTATTCATTAGTTTTTTTGTTTTTAAAGTGAATCAAAGTTTTTTTGCTCGTGTAATTGTACTTACTGCTATTGGAATTCGGTGCTTTTTCAAATGTGTCACAAGTCGCTTGTTTCAATGAACAAAATATTTGATTTAGGTATGATGTTTGAAAAATACATAGATATTCTATAATTAATTTACCATAGCACCGGGCATGGGTTTAGCGAAAGGGAATCTTTCAAACTTTTAAAAATCAAAATTATCTCATCAAAAAAAAATTTAAATTCAAGCTTAAAACGATTAACATTTTAAAATTGACATTAGGAAACCTGAAACTTGTATTACATTCTTTTTAATTCGTTCCTTATTAAATTCATCTGGTGTCATATCAATACCTGTTTCATTTATCAAAAGAACTGCAAACTAAATAAAATTTTTAATTTTATAAAGGTAAAATTGGTTTAAATACTGTATAAAGTGTAATGATAAAATTTTTACCTCGTGTTGACGAAGACCGAGTGAACGTGACATGAGTTCCAATGAATAAGTTTTTCCAAATCTTGCCAAAATTTCGGCTAAAAACAAATAAAAATCATTATTCGATTCAATATATATTTATTATATATTAGTATATAGATAACGTATTAACGATTACATGTCACTTCATAATAAATTTGTTCCGTATTCTATAAAAAAAAAAAAGAATTAAAGTTTTCGATCTATGAACTCACAAGTACTAGTATATTAGAAAGTGCATACTGAATAAATTTACCAGTAGCAAACCTGCATTATAAACAGAACCGATCGCATAAATTATTATATATATATATATATGATCATTTAAAAATAACATATTTATGAGCAAAAAAAAGAGATTGACCATCCATATCAAAAATACAATGAGTTATAACGGTTTCATCGATATCAATATTCTTTCCTTCAACATTAGTCGATGTTAATCTATCCGTGGTTGATTCTGCCATTGTATCCACCTTTATTTAGTTTTCTAAGAACAAAATTTTTATACATGTATTATTTACCATTTTATTTAAATGTAAGAATATAATCCTCATAAAGAATGTACAGTTACCAATTTCAAAAATTTATCACAATAACTTACGTCAAGAGAATAAGGAAGGTGGTAAATTACAAACGAGCAGGATTATCGTCTAATATACGATCTACAGTAATACAACTTACCAGCTTAGTCAATTTATAGTTCATCATTTAGCGTTAGGTCGCGTCGTTTATATCAAATTGTAGAAGCCAATAAATGCTTTATTAAATACGTATTGCATTCTGTTGGGGGCAGCGTGATAAAATATCGTAGTCACGTGAAAATTGCAATAATACTAACGATCGTTATATAATACATTATATGCATAAGCACGTTTTTAAACAATCTATTTGCAAAAATAATATATTTGGACAAACTTAAATCAATACAGCATTAAAAAACAAATTTGACGAAAGCGTGCAAGAAATATAGTGTAATTACTAAATCTCGGATAATTTATTTACGATCAAGATCTGAAATATTAGATGAATATCTTAATGCGCAGTAACTATATAGATACTATCAAGTTTATGTAGTTACTATACAGTTACTACGCAGTCACTGTGTAATATTTCGCAACCTTGATCATGATTTCTACATTGCTTGATATTTACCAAAGAAGTCCTCCAAACAACCATAATCTACATAGTAAATATTTTGTGCCTTTGCCGAAAAATCTTTATTAAAGCAACCAATCAATCAATCATAATAAGACCGTAATATTTTTTTATACAGTTGATTTAAAAAACTTTTTTTAATAATTAATTAATTTATTCTTTACAATAGCTAAATAAATTGTCATAATTATGTTTAGTTTATGAAATAACGTTATTATTCGAGAAAATAATTTGAAATTTCCAAGTCAATTAATTTTGAATCTGATGCAACAGTAAATAAAAATGTTAGCTATTTAAATATTAATAAAAAAATGAACATGAGAATATACAGTATAATTAAAGTTTACCGGGTGTGTTTTGAACTGCTTCGTGCGCATTTTTTGCTGGAGGAAAAATTGGAAAATTAAATAATCGACTTGAATAAATGGCTTGGGAATGCGTAACGTAATTTATCTTCGATTCCAAAATAGTTGGGCTATTTGGAATAGATTCTAATGATTCTTTTTTTCGGTTTTCAATTTCTTCAACTTGATTCCAAAAGTCATCATATTCTTTTGTATTAAGAATTCCAAACCATTTATCAAATTGATATATCAACTCTTGGGAAATTGGTCTATTTTCTGGTTTAGCATCCCAGCAACGCTCAAGCAATTGAATAAATAATTGTGGTGTAATACGAGCATCAGTTGGAGGACGTCTACCTTGAATAATTTCTACAGCGAGTTCATTATTGTGTGGGATATCATTATAAGGTGGTAAACCAGTTGCGATTTCGTTCATTAGAATTCCAAAAGAATAGACATCTGATGATTGCGAGTATTCTTCTCCGCGTAATACTTCAGGAGCGATATAAGGAAGGACTCCAAATACTGACTTTTTCTTCTCTTCCGGATATTGAGTTATCGGTTTACATAAACCAAAATCTGTAATGCTTGCATCTTCAAGTTCGAACATCACTATATTTCCTCCATGTAAATCTTGATGAGTCAATCCTGCATTGTGGATATGATTGAGTCCCTTAAGTATTGAATGTAAAATTTTAAACCTTTGATACCAATCTAATGAATAAAATTTATTATCTAAATATTTTCGAAGATTTCCTTCTTCCGCAAATCGCATAACCATTATAAAATCTTCGGATGTTGGATCTTTGGTTATTCCATAACATGGAATAATTCTATACCCTCCTTTTATTCCGGCATCTAAAGAATTTATCTGATGTTTAATTTCGTCAAAAAATCCTGCAGGTATGTTTTTTGAATTATTTAAACTTTTCAAAACCACTTTTGTTTCACCAAGAAGTTCGTACCGTCTTGACCAATCTTGCTTTTCAACGTTCCATTTGTAAATATAACCTTCTTTCCATGTAGCTACGTATACCTTTCCGAATCCCCCTTTAGAAAGATATTTGACATCCGTAAATTTCTCGTACTTGATCCATTCTAATTTTTGGAAATGGTTTGATGCGTTAAGTTGAGTTTCTTGTATGAATTCATCAATAACTTTATTTTCGCTACTCCAACTATCAAACTGTTGTTTAAAATGTTGTGCATTACAAGGTTTACACCATAACCAAATGTCTCCACTAGAACTTTGCCGTCCACATTCTTCACACGTGTGAATCATAATTAACTAATAATGCATAAATATAAATTGCAACTCTTATTCATATACTTGGTTAAATAATATAGTTCGAATATATGAGTATATGAACATACTCAAAAGCATAATTTTTTAAACACAATTATACTAACTTTTAGATTTCTATAATAAAATCTTTATGGTTTTCTTCATATATACGAATGTGAAGTAGTTTGTAGAGACCTAAGCACGTACCGTACGTATGTACAAATGTACTTTATTAATTTTAAAAATTATATATATATATATATTAATATACAGTATACAAATATATAATTACGCCTTTATTATTTATCTAGCATTTATTTACGTTACTTTCTACAAAAAAGTGAACAATAATCATTTTAATTGAATTTACCAAGTTACTGTTTAGTTCTAATTCGGATATCAGATGATTTTAAATGAAATTAGGCAAAGTTATTGAAAAATTTTCATCAACAAAAAAGTCTGTAACCCATTTTTTTTTTATAAACACGTTTTGTAATTACCAATTGCCAGGGTAATCTAGTTTTCAACTTTTAAAGTTTAATACGTATTAATAGACCTAACTATGCTACTTATCCCTTATTTGCATATTAAAAACCGAGTACGTAATACATATATATGTATGTTACTTCATCGGAAAGCCCGTAAAATTGTCCCCATTAAGGTGAAAACTTGCAAAATGCATAATATTATGCATCATGGGTTTTCTCTAGTGTCACTTAAATTCATTTACTTGACCAATCTGACATTTTATCATATAAAAAAAGATTACAGTTATCCAGTTTATTTTAAAATAAATAATCACATGATTACATTCCATTGCTGTACAATAATGATAAACACACGGATCCCTTGTAACCTAAAACAGGTTTATGAGCTTTTCAATACTGCAATATACAACAAATAGTTTGGCACACAAAATATATATGTTGTGCCTCAAATCGGTTCTTGCATCAGGTGTCAATCGGCCTAAATTAGAGTTAGAGTTAAGGTAAGGATTAGGTTATTGTTTGGGTCAATTAATCTCGATCAGTTAATGCCGGCCAAACAGTCAATACATGAGGTGCCTCAGTTATCACCTGAGGCAAAAATCGATTTGAGGCACAACATATATATAGAAAGATGCTGGGTCTAATTTTGAATGGCTAATATACCAAAATGAAAAGTCTGAAGAATTAAATCCAGTAAATATAGTTTTCGGCGTCACATATATAATTTAGCTTGACGCAAATTTGTTATATCACTATTATACTAGTTTGCATATAAATACTATCGTTATGCGATAAATCAGTATCGTCATCAAAAAATTCACCCCACGTGATCAACGGAATTTTTTTTTAAGTTTGCCTATGTTTGAGCTGGTGCTTATAGTAGGGTTAGAATAACTTTTATTAGTGCATTCCTTATGCAAATTCTTGAAAAATAAAAGGTCAGACAAAAAAATTTGGTTTAAAATTTCATGATCTTTTATTGAGACTACCCCAGTCTAGAGGCTGGAACCGGTTTTAATAATTCGGTTTATCACATGAATTTCATGATATTAAAGAATTTATTAAAATTTAATTGGATAAATTTCCAAAATATCACAAAATTCATGAGTCTAGCATGATAGAGGTTTGTTTTAGGGAAGAAATAACGACACAGCATACACGTGACCAATTCCGCTATACCCTGACGCCAATTCTAACTCTAATGCCGACCATGCTGTGTCGATTAGTTTAATGCTGGCAATCCTGCTGTGAGCCCCCGTAGCTCACCTACAAAAAATTTCCGGCACGTGATCATAGACAATTAGATTGAAGGAGCAGGTGTAACGTGAAAATCATGTCTTTTTAAAAAATCGCTATTAACTCAGCACAGAGCAAGTTCGATTTTATTGGTTAAAAGAAAGATCGTCATAAATTTACAGTACATGTAATTGAATAATTTAATTGGTTATCCAAAATTTCTAGAATATTCGAATTTTCAGTGATCATGTTACACGTGCAGATAACGAAGAACATTAGCATTAGTTTACCTCTACATTGAGTATTCTTTACTTTGCACTAGACAATAAACACACCATTAACGTGTTATAATTTTTTGAAGCTTTATACACAAGAAAAACAAATATACATATATCTATTAAGCATTTATTAATATGATTCCAAAAATGAGGACCCATGTTTGGTGTGAAACTATAATACAAAAATAGGCCAGTTTCACAAATTTACTGCACTAGCATATGAAAAAGTTTAAAAAAAAGAAACCTATATTACTTATACTTATTTATCAATTGGACAACAATTATATCATAAGCATTATTTAAAAAAAAAATGCAAATAAAATAAATAACAAATAAGTAATAAAAATAACATTTACAGAACAAGTCAGAAGACTTAACACTTTATAAAAACTATTGTAAATCTTCTGAATTAGAACTTGATCATAATCATTTTCAACAAATAATTAAAGAGTTAGATCTATATCTAAAAGATTTCTTTGATCAAATAATCAAAGTATTAATTTCTAATAATAGGTTCTTATATAATAAAATTAAAGTACAAAAATCTGTTGTAAATTTATATTATATAATGACAGGAACAAGAAATAAATTTGTTAAAAAGTTTAAATTAGAAATTAGATTATATTTATTGTTATTAAAAGTATTATATATCATAATTGATATTATGTATAATATTAAATTTTTTTTTGTTACTAAACAGTTTTTAATTATATATATAAACTTGCAAATAAACATTCTAAAAAAATTAGAAAATATTTCTCTTAATAGGTAAGTATAATATAAAATAATATAAAAATAAGAGTATTATAATTTATTGTTATTATAATATATTATTACTTTTAATTAATTAATTAAAATACAAAAGTAGATATAATATAAAATTAAAACAAATATGAAAAATTTGTTTATAAAACTACTTTTTACATTTTATTAAAAAATTTATTTGCACCTTTTTGAATAGCAATGCTTTAATAAACTATATTTAATCTTAATTTAATACTAACTTTAATTTTAAATTAATATATTATCATTATTGTTATTTGATTTAATATTATATATAATCTTATAAGTAGCAATATATTATATAAATAAAAAATTATAAAATTTTAAAAATAAAATAAATAAATATATATTTATAATTTGAAAGATTATTATAATATTTATAAAAAGAAAAATCAAAAGCAACAATTTTGTTAAATACTAAACATATAAACACTTGTGTTTGTAATCAAGTTTTAACTTATGTACTAGTTTTTTTTGTTTTTAATAAGATATCTATTTATAACTCTATAAATATTAATATAAGTAATATCTGTTTCTAGTTAATTAATACATATTATAAAATATTATATAGTTATTAGATATAAAGCATTCAATAACAGGAGTTATTTGTAAAAATACTCTATTATCTGGTTTAAATTTAATGTGCCAGCTTCTGGGCCCCATAGAAGCCCAGAAATGGTATGTTAAATTTAAAGCCAAATAAGTAAATTATTAGTGCATAGCATTTAATAACAGTATTATCCAATAACTTACAATGATTAAACTATTAGAATGACTTAAGTTGTTTTAATAATAATTATATTATCATTAAATAATGAAGTTATATAATAAAATGTAATTACCATCAAAATAACTCAAGTAATTCTAATAGTTTAATTATAGTAAGCTATTAGATAATTAATATTATTTATACTAATTATAAGAAACTATAATTAATTAACAAGAAATTAAATTTTAATAATTTTAATTAAATTAATTTACTGATAGTTCATAACTATAATAATGCAATTAAACAATGAAAAAAAATAATTAATAAAAAGAATAAAGTAGTTAACATTCAAAAAAAAAGTTTATATTCTATGGATAATTATATAATAAATGCTTTAAATAATTTTAGATATTAATAATAATATTCAATACTTATTTGATAGAGTTGCACTAGTAGTAGCAGATTAGCTTAACCAATTATTTTTTATAAAGCAATAATGAATTTGAATAAATCAAATTCATAATACTTTATACTAACTAAAATAAATTTCTTTATTCTAATTATAGAATTGCTTTATATTTCTTTAAATAATAAAAAACAAATATTAATAACTTATTATATTTTTTTAATAAGTTATTTTACTTTGCATTTAAAGAAAACAAAAATTAGCTAAAAAACTAAAACTATAGAAAATTAACTTGCTCTTTAATTTGGCTTATAATAAATAATACAAAATAAAAAATATAATAATAAAAATATTTAGAACTACTTGCAAAGATATAGAATATTGTATAGCAATTAACTTGTTAAATAATATAATTTTAACAATATTAAATATTTATACTATTCTTTTCTAATATAGTTTATTTGAATGAATATATAAAAACTATCTTTTGAATTTAATTTTTTCTTTTAGATAAAAACAGAAAAACTATAACAAACTACTATTAGTATTTTTTTAGATTTTTCTATTGTCAAAATACTAATTATTTATTTGCAGAAGTTATAAAATTATTTTAATATATTTTAATAATTATTATATCAAAAATATATATAATTAATATCTTTACTAATAGTAATGCAGATAATAATATTATATAGACTTATGTTATTAGTAAGTTCTAATTTACAAGTTCTATTATAATACTAATATTTATTATACTCTAATCACTATATTAAAATCACAAAATAAAGATGGCAATTATAATGTAGTAGCTGGATTGTTATCTCTCAAGTAATAGGTCTAGTGTTTAAATCCCACCTATGATAAGACCTAAAAAATTATACCTATATTATAACAAACTGTTTCTTGACAATCATTTGAATTGGTGTATCTGTAACCTTAAGTTACATCATCTCAAATAAGAGCTTAGGATATCTATGTAAAGTATAATATTTCTTATATATAGAAAAATGTATAAATGGTGTTACATAAGGCTTCAGTGCAAACCCATGATAAGACCACCAGGTACAGTAAACTAAGAAACCAAAGAGTCTGAAGCC